ATGCACTAAAAGAGAACCCAATATAACGCTATTTTACTAGGTGGAAGCCATTGTTTAAACGAATATTACTCATGATGTTAATTAAAGTCAATGTTTTTTTTATGCACAACAAGGCAGTTATTTGACCACAATCGCACCTGATGTTAAGTGGGATGCAGTCTAGGATACTTATCTGCCTTGTAAGTGCCTATTCACTCTCGCCTTGAAAATGCCCGGATCATAGTCTTCGGGAAAGACAACAGCAGGCAGCGCATTCCAGTCCCTAGCTGTTCGCATTATAAAAGTTTAATAATAATCATTAAACTTGTTTCAATGCGTACAAAATTATTATAAAATAGAATCATCAAAGTGAATCTTTTATATGAATAGCTTGAGCATCGAGTAGGTCATCGATATTTTATTCGATTACTTAAAATTATTGCTAGATACAAAAATACAGTCATAGAGAAAGCAACGAAACTTTTCAAGTAGGTGGCAAAGACAATAAATTACATCATTTTACGAATAAAATAACGTTATATTTTTATACTTTATTTATAATTAATAATAGCAAAGAACATGTAAAACAATTTTTAGAAGAATAGTTGTAATAAATTAAGGAATATTTAAGGGCCCGACAAAAATATCGGTAAATATACCGGTACGACGTTGAAAGACGTCACGTGTCACGTCACGTGGACGCATCTTTTTTACCCAACTGCAGAAAAAAAGATTAGGTTTTTGTTTAATCGTTCTGCAGTGTTAAAATGTAATGACCCAAACCTATAAAATGTTTCGATTTCATACGATAAAATTCATTGTTTTTTTTTCTCAAAGAGCAACTACACGTTCCACAGCGACTTATTAGATGGGATTGTTGTAAAGGCAACTTCTTGATATAAAATTCATTAGAACATTGATACTTGACCTATTTATTTGCCCATGCACTTGAAATGATTGGAATCTAGGACGTAGGCAGTGGCGCAAAGTACCTATAACCACAACAATAACGTCCGATGCCCGTGCACTGGGACCTTGGCGTATTATTTAGGGTTTAGCGATTAGGGTCTTGGGCCGGGGCCCGTGGCATTTTGAGAGCCCTATTACGCCACTGGACGTAGGGCGGGACGTAGGGACATGTGTGTATGAACGAACATATCGGTTTGACAAGATAGATCTAGCGCTTAAATCAGTCAGTGTCAAACAATATTCGCATTTTGCATGCTGTTACGTCATAATAATTGTAATGACAATTTCACCCCTCCAGTGGGTCTAGACAAAGTGCAAATTTTAATCGCAAACCAGTCGATAAGTGGTCGAAAAGCCCCTTTTTTGTATGGAGTTTTGACGGATTCGATTTTCGATTCGATCAAAAAGTGCGTTTTGTCTAGGGGGGCGCACGGTGGTCCCGATTTAATAAAACATGGACATTGATGCTAGAAGCACGAATTTTTTTTTGATGGTTACTGCTATGATAACTAATAAGGCAAAAAAATATTACAATCCTACGACGTCTATTTCGTAGTAAAAAAAAATATGTAGATATTTTTTGTATGGAAGAAATTACGTTTCTGTAAATTTTTCGAAATTCTTAAACGATGTCAAAATGCCGATCACACATGTTATAAAACAAGTGATTCTGAGTATTTCATGCGAAGATACTTGTCACTTATCTCTGCGTACTTTTGAGTTATCGAGGGTTGAAAAATCGATTTTTTTATATTAAATATTTCCACGAAAAATTGCCAAAATTACAATATGGTGTATAAGGGACACCTTTGATGACACATAACAACGACTCACACTCGCGCGCGCTCGTATGCATCAGCTTTTAATAAAATAAAATAAAAAATTAAGGGAAATACTTAATACAACATTGTATGTATAGGTCCGCTGGCCGTCAAAAAGTAGCTTATACGAGAGGTTGCCCAATTTACAATATGTCCATCATTGATAACTCACACAAATATCATCTCTCTCTGAAGGATAACAAGTTTTTTTTGTTTCCAGAAGCTTTTGATAGGATGGAAGCTCATAAATACTCTCTGAAGTGAGAATGAATCTCAATTTGCGATATTGCCATTTTGACAAATTACATGATGTAACTAGCGCTAACGTTTATCTTCAGGTAGACACAGTTTTAAGTTAAAAGATTGTCTACTATTTCACACTGTTTTTCGTTTTGGAACAGTTCTTTGATTATAGGTAGTCGCTAATTTCGTTTTGTTAGACTCTTTCGGTTTAGCACATAAAGCGTAAACTAATTCCTCCTCAGAATGATCTAAAAGTGTTAGAGAGCGCCTCTTCTTCTGCAGAAGAAGAATTTTGCATAAATCTTCAAAAGGTTTTTTATTTATACCAGAAGTCGATGGTTGCACATCTACTTCCGCAGTCTCATCAACTGGAGCGTCTTCCTCGGTGTTAACGTTGTCTATGCGTTGTGTTAACTCGGTAAAAAAACATTTTTTAAATCTATTTTTTACATTTCGGCCAGACCATTTCAGACTAAAATGAGGAACGTATTGGCATTGAATTGTCTTCCGAAGATTTGAGTAATTATCAAATCATTAAGTCGTAATTTGACAAGAAATATATCAAAGAAGATATGGTCTGCTTCCAGTAGAGCCCAAAAGACATTTTTGCACCAGAATTCGCATTGGCTAGACTCTGAAATTGTCTGGCCGAATTGTAAAAATATGTTTTTTACCGAGTTAACACAACGCATAGACAACGTTAATACTGAGGAAGATGCTCCAGTTGATGAGACTGCGGAAGTAGATGTGCAACCATCGACTTTTAGTATAAATAAAAAACCTTTTGAAGATTTATGCAAAATTCTTCTTCTGCAGAAGAAGAGGCGCTCTCTAACACTTTTAGATCATTCTGAGGAGGAATTAGTTTACGCTTTATGTGCTAAACTGAAAGAGTCTAACAAAACGAAATTAGCGACTACCTATAATCAAAGAACTGTTCCAAAACGAAGAACAGTGTGAAATAGTAGACAATCTTTTAACTTAAAACTGTGTCTACCTGAAGATAAACGTTAGCGCTAGTTACATCATGTAATTTGTCAAAATGGCAATATCGCAATTTGAGATTCATTCTCGCTTCAGAGAGTATTTATGGGCTTCCATCCTATCAAGAGCTTCTGGAAACAAAAAAAACTTGTTATCCTTCAGAGAAAGACGATATTTGTGTGAGTTATCAATGATGGACATATTGTAAATTGGGCAACCTCTCGTATAAGCTACTTTTTGACGACCAGCGGACCTATACATACAACTTTGTATTTAGTATTTCCCTTAATTTTTTTTTATTTTAGTAAAAGTTGATGCATACGAGCGCGCGCGAGTTCGAGTCGTTGTTATGTGTCATCAAAAGTGTCCCTTATACACCATATTGTAATTCTGGCAATTTTTCGTGGAAATATTTAATATAAAAAAATCGATTTTTCAACCCTCGATAACTCAAAAGTACGCAGAGATAAGTGACAAGTATCTTCGCATGAAATACTCAGAATCACTTGTTTTATAACATGTGTGATCGGCATCTTGACATCGTTAAAGAATTTAGAAAAATTGACAGAAACGTAATTTCTTCCATACAAAAAATATGTATATATTTTTTTTTACTACGAAATAGACGTCGTAGGATTGTAATATTTTTTTGCCTTAATAGTTATCATAGCAGTAACCATCAAAAAAAATTTCGTGCCTCTAGCATCAATGTCCATGTTTTATTAAATCGGGACCACTGTGGGGCGGGACTACATCCCATACCTCAGGTACTGACAGAGTTAAGCGCTAGACATTATTTTTCAATATTTGAACGTGGATGTGTTTAGAATTTTCTGTATTCAAAATTACATCAGTGTAAGTACGTATAGACTAAGAGCTAGTGAACGCCAGACCTACGTCATTTGTCAGCGTATGCTCCCAATATAGGATATAATGTTGGTTTATGGAGTTTGGGTCGTGGTGGCTTTGGGAGCTACCCTAAAAAAACTGTCTGGCAAGGAGTTGGAACTGTCAAAACTGTCTGGCTTTTGGGGAAAATACTTCTAGTAATTGCCCAAGTATTATACATAAAAATCAGATTTTATAGTGTAACGTAAATCTAACTTTTACGGTGGCTTTTTCTGTATATTCAATAGACTGTAATTCTACCAATGTTATACCATTAACTAGCTGACCCGGCGAACTTTGTTCCGCCTTAATGGCAATAAATAAGCAGACTTTTTTTTTATTTCGAACGGGATAAAAAGTATCCTATGTCCTTTTCCTGGCTCTAAACTACCTCCCTGACAATTTTCAGCTAAATCGGTTCAGCCGTTCTTGAGTTATAAGTGGAGTAACTAACACGACTTTCTTTTATATATATAGATAGATATTTGGGCAATAATTAGAAGTATTTTCCCCAACAGCCAGACAGTTTTGACAGTTCCAACTCCTTGCCAGACAGTTTTTTTTAGGGTAGCTCCCAAAGCCACCACGACCCAAACTTTATAATTCACCAACATTATATCCATGGGAGCATACGCTGACAAACTTTCAGCTTTTATAAAATGGCGTAAGTCTGGCGTTCACTAGCTCTTAGTCTAGTATGTTCGTTCATTCGTTTCAGCCAAAAGACGTCCATTGCTGGACAAAGGCCTCCCCCCAAGAATTTCCACAAAGACCGGTCCTGCGTCGCTCGCATCCAGGCGCCTCCCGCGACCTTCACCAAATCGTCGGTCCACCTAGTGGGAGGCCTAGGCGCAAGCACAAAAGATCCCCACTGGGTTCGGAGTGCACTTCGCCGCCCGTGCGCGGCCCTAGAGAAGATAGTGGGAGGCCTGCCCACGCTACGTCTTCCGGGCCGCCACTCAAGAACTTTCCTGTCAATACAGGGAGGGAACCACTGAAGCGAGGAGCGACACTATGGGAATTGAAGGAAAACACAAAGCGACATTAGGGAAGCGATTCAGGGAAAAATTCTACTCATATCTAACAGGTTGTTATTTGCAGAATAAAACCACAATATTATCCTTATAGCTCTTTATTCCAATCACTTTTTAGGGGCGGGCGCCTTCTTAGCCGCCGCCTTTTTCTTGGGTGGTGGTGGTGCCGTCTTCTTTGCCGCTGGCTTCTTGGGTTTCTTGGACAGAGCAACCTTGATGGATTTGCTGCGCTTCAGACGCAGTTTTTCAGCAGATACGGCAGGGTCGCTAGCGGGTAGCTTGATCTAGAAGATAGAAGAGGGTTAGATGGGTCTTTTTAAGGGGTTTGGATGGTGATTAGATGGTGGATCAGTGTGTGTCAACGTGAGTAATCATGGTGCTCATAACCCAATGCTCTGAGAAGAGAATATCATCATTTTGGTTCAAGATTGTAATTAGAATGTTTGCAAATTAAATTGTGCCAGATTCTTTTGAAGTGAACTTCTTAGGATTTCGGGCATAATGAGGGCTATCGTTTTTATACTTAACAGTTGACACCCCTGGCGATTGACAGGACCTTACTCTACAGTGGCGCCATCTTGATGAGTGCTAATGCGATAGTACTTCTACCACTTTCGCGCTCACCAGCTGGCGCCACTGTCTTCGCTACTAGCAAGTGACAGGACCTTACTCTACAGTGGCGCCAACTGGTGAGCGCTAAAACGATAGCCCTCATTGTATGTAACCTACCATTGAAAATTTTTTTAGGAGCTAAACTCAACCAGCCCCAGAAGATTCTAAGAATAATCAAATATCCTGGCCTCGACGAGTATTGCCAAGAACAAAAAAGAAGAAGAAGAAATATCCTGTCACATCATTTATATGAGTTACTGGCTCAACATTACTTGAAATCCTTACATAACAAATAATTATATTACAAATGCAATGGTCCATTTATGAAAGAAAAAACTACAACATAATTATTACTTTAGCCAATGGACAGTATTCCAATTTCCAGGCTAGGAGGAACGCTACAAAAAAAAACGTTTCTGTCTACATAGTAACTTTAGAGCGTTTTCACATTTAGGCGATTTAGCAGCGCGACAAACGCGCGACAGACGTGCTGCCGAAAATTTCATACTATGTGACAGCTGATGCCTGCCTTCACATTACAAAAACGCCGATGCGGCGCTGCTGTCGCGCATCTAACGCCCTAACGAGAAAACACTCAAAAAAAATTACAAAAAGTTTATATGACGACATAATAACTTTCAAATATCATTAAATACATTTAATAATGCAATAAAAAAAATGAATTTTAATTTGAATTTGAATACTTACACCACGTTTTTCGGCGAGCGCCAGCGCTCTCACGTTATTCTTCCTCTCTTGCTCAAGCACGGCCTTCCTTCTCAGCACAGCAGAGTAAGGGTTCAACCTCAACATTGCCTTGGTGTTGGTCAGTGGGTTAAGTTTCCTGGTCGCGCGGACCACACGCTTGCTGCAAGAGAAAGGGGAAGTTAGAAAAGCGGTGAAATGATAAGGTTGGTGTGGTAAGGGAGTGGAAGTCAGGATGTGTCAACGTGATTGAGTAATCATGGTGGTCATAACCCAATGCTCTGAGAGAGAATATCATCATACAGTAGAGTGGGACGGTTTTTAGGTTATTTTTGAGACAGTCTTATAATACTAATATCACTGTTAACCCCTCCTAAGTATACTCAATACTTAATAGGAGTGAATTTACCACAATAGTCTAGTGGTCGACGGGAATCGAACTAGAGTTTCTCGAATCGGCAGTCAGATGACGATTATCTTTGATTGTTTTTTATTCTTCAGTTTTGTGGTTTATACATACAAAAGTTACCCTTGATATACATTCAAGGTGTCATTTAAGTATAGATCAAACAAAAAATATTGATTCTACGGCTCAAATTCAACAACTTACTCAAAGAGAAGGAAGTTTAAATCTCACAAAAAAATGCACCTTTCCATACAAATGTCATCAGTATGATATATCAATAAGTTTCTTAGAATTTGGATAGTTTCTGTAGTAAGTTGCTAAAAAATTCACGTCCTACCGTGTCTCTTTCTATTATCCCTTTTACAAACAGTTAAAGCCCGATCCGTGAGCACGTAGAATTTTGTCTAATGACCCAAGCTACCCATCCTTATCGCTCGCGCGTGATTATATTGCTGTCGCGACTGTGCGACGGACGCCCGCAGTGAGTGTGCGAGCGCGACAGCAATATAATTACGCGCGAGCGATAAGGATGTGTAGCTTGGGGTCATTGGAAAAATTCTACTTGCTCGAAAACCGGGCTTTAGTATCACTCCCAAGTAACTTAATTAGGAGTGAGTTTATCAGTTTACCACAATAATCCAGCAGTCGACGGGCATCGAACTAGAGTTCCTCGCAGGTTTTGTGGTTCAAGCGTGAAAAGCACAGTTACTTTTGGTCTACACTCAAGGTGTCACTTAAGTGAAGATCAGACAAAAAATATTGATTCTACGGCTCAAATTCAACTTACTCCAAGTGAAGGATGTTCAACAAATCTAACAAAAAAATGCACCTTTCCATACAAATTGTCATCAGTAACTTTCTGGCATAGGATAGTTTTTGTAGTAAGTTGCTAAAAAAATTCACGCCCTACCGTGTCTCTTTCTATTATCCCTTTTCTAAGTTAGTAGGTAAAGAAATAAAGATATTATACTCACTTAGGAGCGCGAAGCACCTTGCGGATCTCCTCAGACTTCAGCAGACGGCTGAGGTCGGTGTTGGCCATCTTGGGCTGGGGCAGGTTGAAGTTCTTCTTCTCCTTGGATGGCGTCTTCCATGAGCCGAAGAGGGCGTCTGTTATGGAAAAGTAAAATATAATTTAAAAACTAGCTTTGTCCATATTCTACCATATTATAGTAAATTACATCCCATCAAAAACAATACTTGTCAAAAAAACCAACTCTCGCAACTCAGTTGTTCTACGGTAAAAAGTTGTGAGATCCATGTAATACCAAGTCCAGGCCAGGAAATCTTTAACGTTTTACATAAATTATTGACTTGGCCATCGCACTAAATAATTTAATTTACACGTGTTTTCATGCGATGGCCAAGTCAATATATTTATGTAAAACGTTAAAGATTTCCTGGCCTGGACTTGGTATTACATGGATCTCACAACTTTTTACCGTAGAACAACTGAGTTGCGAGACTTGGTTTTTTTGACAAGTATTGTTTTTGATGGGATCTCATTTCTTTTTGTATTTTGTAGACAGCAGTTATGTATCTAGAAAACTGGACCGAAATTGAAAAATTTTACTCGACTTGGCGGTTGCACTACCGTGCCCCCAAATATTTTAGTTTTTCCTTGATTCATACACCAAACACTACTTATATTCCAAATTTGAAGCTTCTAGGTCTGCTAGAAGTGCCTTAGAATTTTGATGATCGGTGAGTCAGTCAGTGAGTGACAAAATTAAGTAACTTTGACCCGTTATAATTCTTAAACTACTGGTTCAAATTGAATGAAATTTTAAATATACCGTGTCTTTACAATGCCTGCATAGCTAATGAAGATTCAGCCTTCTAGTTTTATCCACAACGAAGTTACAGGCGGTCGAAAATGGCCTGAATTGCTTCGAGAAAAGGATGGTACGGCCGTGCCGCTTTTTTGCTCGACTTGGTGGGGGCACTGCCGTGCCCCCAGATACATAAGTCTAAACTCAGCGAAGCCACATTCTCAGCGAAACAATTTCCAAGTGTAAACAAGATTCAATGTCCTCCACACATCTGCTAGAATACACAGAGCTGTCTTGGTGTAAGTAAGTAGAAAAGTAAGTATATTTGCCCCAATATGATAGGTATAAACGTTAAATTTAAGGTGGGTTACACCATCTTACATTCTTCTGGTCGTGTCGACAAAAAACCTTTACAATGTCAGCTCAAAACTCCGCCACAAGAGTGGCGTTGGCAGTAGCATTCATAAAATCTTCCTGCGTGCAGTTGTTTGGGCACGCAGGGCACGACATCATGCATGATTAGTCTGGTCTACGAGCACAGTGTTGAATATTGCTGTCGCGACTGTGCGACGAGCGCCCGCAGTGAGTGTGCGAGCGCGACAGCAACATAATTACGCGCGAGTGATAAGGATGAGTAGCTTGGGGTCATTGGACAAAATTCTACGTGCTCGCAGACCGGGCTTTAACAAGCTGAAGTGGCAATTAGTTGTATGTTCTCCACACGTCGACACCCCAGCAGACTCGCGGTCTTGGCTGGAGTTTCCTAAGGGAGATTTGATGTACCCTCCAAATTCGTAACTTTAAACATATTAAATGTAAAAAGTAAGGCTTATGAGGGATCTTACTAACTGCTAGAGCTACGGGACTATTCCCACTGCTGCAACTCCTGTGGTAAATTCGTTTCGGGTCCAACGACAGTTTAGCTTTCCCCTGTGACAACTTGACCTTCACTGGTTGGGTTATTGGCGGTCAAGCTGTAGACCCTGGCTACAAAGGAGTTGCAGCAGTGGGAACTAGAGGTGGGAATAGTTCCGTATGATATACATCAACACCACCCACGAGGTGGAAGCAGGAAGGCGTTGGTCGCAGGCCGCTACCAATCGATCAACATGGAAATCATTGGGGGAGGCCTATGTTCAGCAGTGGACGTCCTATGGCTGAAATAATGATGGATATACAACAGCCCAGCTAGTAAAAGTAACTTACCGAGCCTGTCGAAGGCAGACTGCGTCCAGATGATGAAGCGACCAACGTGACCGCCAGGTGCAAGCTTGAGGAGGTTCAGTTTGTCCACGTTAAGCATCTCCACGCCTGGGATGTTGCGGAACGCGCGGGTCAGACCCTGAGAGAGAAAGAATAAATTAAACTGTGATTTTGGCTTAGAATAGGACCACCTTCGCACGAGGAATCCAAAGAAGAACCAAAGTGATTGACTGCAGAATTGATAAAATCAAGTGGCAATGAGCAGGGCACATAACTCGCAGAGCTGAGACAGTTTTCGAGTGGCGACCACGGACTGGAAGACGTAGTGTGGGCAGGCCCCCCGCTAGGTGGGCCGACGATATGGCGAAGGTCGCGGGAAGTGCCTGGATGCGGGTGGCGTAGAAATGTGGAATTCCTTGGAGGAGGCCTTTGTCCAGCAGTGGACGTCGGCTGAAACGAAGGACCACGTCCACTCTTCGTAAGAAGACTCCAGTTAGTGCTACCCACCACCCTCCCTTACTAAAAGGAGATAGATAGGAAATGCTTTGCTGCAATAGACTCCATTAGATTTGTTTGGGGTCTTTCACACTCACATTTTTTCTTTACTGTATTTTGACGTTCATAAGTACCACTAAAGCCAGGTCAGTGAGCACGTAGAATCCCGTCCAATGACCCCAAGCTGCCCACCCCCGCTCGCACGTAATTATGTTGCTGTCGCGCTCGCACACTCGCTGCGGGCGCGCGTCGCACAGTCGCGACAGCAATATAATTACGCGCGAGCGATAAGGATGGGCAGCTTGGGGTCATTGGACGGGATTCTACGTGCTCACGGACCAGGCTTTAGTGGTCAAAATTGAATAAAATATTTTTGATTTATTAATAAAATGTTCTCCACACGTCGACACCCCAGCCGGCTTGTAGCCTCGGCTGGAGTTTCCTAAGGGAGCTGTAATATGCCCTCCACATTCGTAACTCAATACATATGAAATGTAAAAAGTAAGGCGTATGAGGGCTTGATCTACGTACACGTCGCGTTTTCTATTGTATCTTATCAATTGTATTTTCTGTAACTGATAAACATGACAGTTAATCTAGCACCCATAACACAAGCATATTAATTGCTTACTTTGGGGCTAGATGGCGCTGTGTGAGATTGTCCAAAGATATTTATTATTATTATTCTCTTTATTAAGTTTGGTTCTTAATTTTAAATATTTTTTTACAATGTAAATTATAAAAAAAAAAAAATACATTATAAAAAAATACTTAAAAATAGTTATTCCGCTGGTAGCGGAGCAGGGCCCAAGCTACCGGTGGTCAGGGTCATTATTATTATTATTCATTCGTCCGCCGATATGATTCTTTATTATAGTGATGGATGGTATGCCATATTTGGAATATGTGGCAGTAAAAATACATACAGCCGAACATAGAACCTCCTCCTTTTTTGAAGTGTTAAAAAGAGTACAGTAAAGAATTTGATCTTAGAATACTAAGTTTCCCGATCCATATTTGCAACACATTTACTGAAAGTTGGCCTGCATTCACTCTTTCTGGTTCTGCGAGAGCTATTTTAACTTGCTAGATTTTTGGACAATATTCAAAGTCTAAGGCTAAGTTCAAATGATAAGGGGTGATACAATGTTAAAATTGTCATCCGTGCTTCACAGCTTCGTTCGTTGGCATGTCCCAAGTCAACCGAACAGGCTGATACTTGACAGACATGCAGGTAGTAAAGAGAGACATAAGTGACCGAGTTTCTTGCGCTGCTTCTTCTCAGCACTGGCCCATTTATTGTCCCGAAGCAGTGGTAGGGTTAATACTGGGACGTGTGAAAGTGCTTTTTAAAAGCCTTTTTCATACTTGCTAAAATAAAATGAGTTTTAGGGAGCTATCAATGTGGTATTCGTGGTTCTTACCTGGTCCTTGTGGTAGACGATCAGGGGTCCTTTGCGCTGGACGCGCCTACGGTTACGCATCTTTCCTTTGCCGGCGCGCAGCCTCTGAGATTTGTATACCTGTAACAAGATTTAAAATTTAAATGTTTTTAATAATGACAAAAAATATAGGTTTGGCTTGCAAAATCTGGGGGCACGGCAGTGCCCCCACCAAGTCGAGCAAAAAAGCGGCACGGCCGTACCATCCTTTTCTCGAAGCAATTCAGGCCATTTTCGACCGCCTGTAACTTCGTTGTGGATAAAACTAGAAGGCTGAATTTTCATTAGCTATGCAGGCATTGTAAAGACACGGTATATTTAAAATTTCATTCAATTTGAACCAGTAGTTTAAGAATTATAACGGGTCAAAGTTACTTAATTTTGTCACTCACTGACTTGTATTTTCACGCGTCAGTGGATATCGGAAGAAATAAAATACATTGCGCAGTAGTTACGCATGACATAAAGTGGTTGCTAACTAAATCGTCAATGTACAACGTGTTTGAATTTTTATCACCACTAATTTCGATATCGCAGTAAATGTCACGGCACTGAATACGTTAATAAAAATGTTTAGTTTTTTTTATTTATAAGCAAAATACCAATGGATTTGCAATACTTACATGTGGTAAATGACTTCATTGTTCCTGTAGTTCTTCGTTTCACTTATGTTATTGCACGTTACGACGCATTATCCAACAATATAGGAGAACATTTCCTCAGTACGATTGAATCGCGACTAACCTGGCGTCGCGGGCGATGTTCGTTTCTGGGCATATCGCGGAGACACGCGCCACGCCCCCGTTTCACATCTATTCCCTTCTATGATCTGAGGATCCATGTAATACCAAGTCCAGGCCAGGAAATCTTTAATTAACGTTTTACATAAATATATTGACTTGGCCATCGCATGAAAACACGTGTAAATTAAATTATTTAGTGCGATGGCTAGGGTATGCAAAACCGAAAGTTTATGAAAAACCGATTTTTTTTTCGGTTTCCAAGAAAAAAAACCGGTTTTCGGTTTTTAATCGGTTATTATCGTTCTATTTTTTTTTCAATCATCTAGTAGTTACATACAGCGATTTGTTACGTCTTGTCCGTTTTGTGTTAGATTACATTATTTAAGAGAGGGTTATAACAGTTTTGATAAATTTAGCTTATTCATTAGGCATTATAGGCACATAATGAATAAGTGAATAATGAATAAGCTAAATTTAACTCAAGGGATGGTAGTTTATCTCCATTGTACGTAATAATTGTCAACGAATACGTTTTTAAAATTCATTAAGTACTTACTCTGTGGGTTTAGTATTTTGTTAATTACCACCATGTACGTAATGTACATCAAAAACGTATTTGTTTACAATTACGATTGATATAAGCAATATCTTAAATTAAAAAGTATAATAAAATGTAAAAAGGTTTATTTGTGAACGTTAGGTGATTACGATTGATATTTTAAGCAATATCTTAAATTAAAAACCGGCCAAGTGCGAGTCGGACTCGCGCACCGAGGGTTCCGTACAAACCTGCAAGGTTTACAAAGTTCGTTCATTACGACAATCGAGTCATAACTGTTTTTTTTTTCACGGGTTAAAGGCAATTANTCAGCTATGCCCAATAAAAATCTTAGCGTTTAATTTTACTGTTTAGTACCTCAAAAATGAAAAATGAAAACCTCATTTTCGCCATTTTCTCTGCTACCCGGCCTTAATAGTTAAAATTTCATTCTTGTGGCGAAGTTTTGGGCCGACGCACGCTGGTTCAAGAAATGATAAAAATGGAATTAGCGATTTATTCACTTTTTTCGATGGTATCATGTGTAGAATGTCATAAAAAACGTTTTGTTTAAGTTATATTTTTCTGAGAAATGCGTAGTTTTTGCTATATTTCATGTTTTGTGTTTTATTTGTATGAAACGTTTCCTTCACGAGGCTCTTATTCAAAATGTTAAAGTTTGTTAGATATGACTACTTATAGGTTTAAAAGAGTCATACTAATAGAAGCTAATACAGTAACAACTTTGTCCCAGTGCGTCCCCGTTTAGGATATAAGTGATATTTTCTAAGGTACGAAAAAGTAAACAAAATATATGGATATAATGTGATGTAACTAAAAATTTATGGCTTTCGTAATTTTTCCTTTATCTATGCTATAAGACGTTGCTTCGTACCAAATTCCAAGATTCTGAGTTCACGGGAAGCACCCTGTAGGTTTTGATTCCCTTGCAAGTGTCGAAAATTTGCGGCATAAACGGCTGTATCTTTTGATTGCGTTGGCTTAGAAGTTTGATTTTTTCACAGCTTCAAGGGACAGTAAACCTGAGTAATTGATATAAATTTCAGCTTCATACCTCCACGCGTTCCTGAGAAAAAGGGTCTTGACAGACGGACGGACGGACAACAAAGTGATCCTATAGGGGTTCCGTTTTTTCCTTTTGAGGTACGGAACCCTAAAAAGTAGAATAAAATGTAAAAAGTAGAATAAAATCTAAAAACGTTAGGTGGTATTTCTGTCAAATTTCAATACACTAAGTATTACAGTAATAAGCTTCTGCAGATATCGCAAATAAATGAGATTCAATGTTCAAAACAATTCCGAAATAAAAACTGTTAAATTCACTCACACATACCTAGGTTAATTATTCACTGCAATAATCACCAACTATCTGAATCGCGGGGTGGGTCATGTCAGGTGGCGGGCGCGGGCGGTACGAGTCTTAAATAATTATCGGGGATTCCCCGTTCAAAGGACAAACGACGGAGTATCCAAGTGACAATGTTGCCAAGTTATAAATTGTAAAATAACCAAATATTCGTCAAATATCAAAAAAATACCCAGGTTATATTATAATAAATTGATATTGCTTATTTATGGAATTTGTTACGTGTATACAGATAGAAAAACCGATTTAAATCCGGGTTTCGATTTTTAAAACCGGTTTTAGAATTCGTCGAAAAAGGGCGGTTTTTCCGATTTTTCGGTTTCCGATTAACCGGTTTTGCATTCCCTAGCGATGGCCAAGTCAATAATTTATGTAAAACGTTAATTAAAGATTTCCTGGCCTGGACTTGGTATTACATGGATCTAACAACTTTTTACCGTAGAACAACTGAGTTGCGAGACTTGGTTTTTTTGACAAGTATTGTTTTTTATGGGTTATTTTTACCGGTAGTTAAAAAGACCGGGTTTCGTGGATTTCACCGGTAGTTTGAAAATGCCGGTTCATATTACCGGTACCGGTTTGGCCGTTTGGTAGCTCTATTAGTAGTAGCAGACTTATCAACTCGGAAAGGGATCAACACGTATCGCCTTTTGCGAGCTGTCATCGCCTTTCGCGCGCTGTCAACCGCGAGGCGAGGCGTTTACGTTCGGTGCGGATAAGTGTGCGTTGCAGTATGGAGTTTCATACAAAGAATACTGACCACCTCGAGTTGATACGGTTACGATCCCTTCAGGGTTGATAAGTGTGCTACGTACTTTACCGATATTTTAAAAACACGACGTGTTTTAACGGTACTGACTTTATAATTTTTTTGACCTACTTACAATGTTTGTATTCCCAACTCTATGTCGACGTAGTAACAACTAGCCGACTGTTGATCGGGAAATATTATGTTGTCCCAGTAAAAGCTGCATAGTCTATTTGTTAGATCTACGAGTGTTGACCTGGGACAGTCTTTTATTCATAGAAGATGCTTAGTAGGGTACATTAAATTAGGTTCAAGTTAATCTACAGGACTATTCCCACCTCTCGTCCTCACCGCTGCAACTCCTGTGTAGCCAGGATCTACAGCTTGACCGCCAATAACCCAACCAGTGAAGGTCAAGTTTGTCCCGGGGGAAAGTTAAACTGTCATTGGACCCGCAACGAAATTAATCAGAAGAACATCATCATCAGGAGGAGTTCGAAGTATAAGGTACATAGGAAGAGTCTCCGAAACTTTATAAAGCCATCCGCCCACCAAACTAGGACCAAACTAAGAGTGCAGGTGAGGTTTTGATCCCCAGTCGATGAAACACATGATTGAAACACATAGCCCTGAGTGCCCAAGCAACTGCACGCAGGATTTGATGAATGCTGCTGACCACGCCACTCTTTTAGCGGAGTTTTGGACTGTGTAGGTTTGTTGTGGACACGATAAGAAGGACTCAAATCTCACCTTGAGGACATCAGACCACGCCTTGATGCGTCTGAGGAAGATGACAGCCTGCTTCGTCTTGTTGATCTCTTGCACCTTGTCCGACACCACCAGCGGCAGTTCCGGCACCTTGTCGATGACGTGACCTGCGCCAAGAGAGAAACAATCTGTTATGGAGGGCTTAGCACATGAGATATACATTTTTGAGGCATTGTAGAACTTATTGCAACTACAAAAGATGTGACGTCGCCAACTGACAACACATTTTTGTGAATATATAGCACCTAGTGCCACAGAATAATAATAAGTACTACGTACAGAAGTTTTACTTCGCGAAGGTATTAAAAAAATGTATGCTCAATGTCAAGTCAAGTCAAGCACCATTTTGTTGACAAACGTCAGTGATCGGTACTGCGCCGAAGCTATAGGGCTGACTTCGGTAAAATGATGTGACGTGAGGTGCCAAACTGCGGAAAATGGCGGAGGAAATACATGATTTAGCATGAATTATCATGAATAATAGTAACTACTTATTTACCTCTCAGTGTCTTGAGGCAACTTAAAAAAGTACATTCTGTGTTTTTATTATTATTTAGGCAGTTAAATACTGCACAGTATTTAGTACACCATTTTCTTTATTTTCTTCCATCATACACAAGAATACGCGTGCGTGAGTCAATGTTCGCTCGTATGTGAGGCCTTGTCGAATAGTATCCTGTAGGTGGGCCATCGTGCGTGTTTTGTTTTCGATGTAAACTCGCGGAGATGAACAGGCCTGCTAGTGCTTCATAAGATGCCGCATCCACTTGACTCGATATGCCAACTTAGAAATTAATAAGTACTTTATTTGAGATAGCTGGCCCGGCGAACATCGTACCACCCAGTTAAGTAATGGGTGTAAATTGCTGATAATGGCAGAGTTAGACGATGACGCTGACTTGAACGATATTGGGTTACATTATCAAAGTTTTCATATGAATTCCTAACTTTTTGAAAATATTCTAAACGCCTATGTTCATCAGGGACAAAGTATGACTATAATTGTGAAAGAATTTTTCAAATCGGTCCAATGAATCGTATCGTTTCCTTTTTAAACAGATCTGACACTACAAGTAATGATGACATCAATATTACTGTCAGTGTCCACTATAAATAGTGACTTTTCATAGTTAGACACTTGTAGTAGAAGCCTTGCACCCGTACTTGCCACGAAGCGAGCCCGGAACGCCAGGCCCTACGTCGATGTAGCACTAATCCGCAGTGACACACAGCGGCACAATAGCCTCTGCATGTGGACATTCAGTGCAGGGTTTACTTGGTAAATTTAAATTTGTTTGCTAACATGTAGTTTGAAATAATTACTGTATGTGTGACAACTAGTTTTTTAAATTATGGAATAATACAAAAGTTAGTTATCATCACCAATTTGAAGCAGTTCCTGATCTTCGTTCATCTGATCATGTTTTGTTCAATATGGAGCTAAAGTTGTTAAAAAATTACATGCTTTTTCCAATCAAAAGTTTGCAGAACACTGTCTGGTATGTGAACGAATAGTAGCACTGAATGCAATGTGTACATGACACACACCCTTCGCGACGTATTGTTTTTATTTTGATTACTTTGTGTGTGTGAATTTCTAATGCGACACTGAGTTTCGAACTCAGCGCATTAGTTGGCATCTCTCTAGATATCTATGAACGCAGAATACTCGCGAGAGCGAACGCACGCGTTTCTGTATCGAAGAATAGTATGAGCAGCGCAGTGTAGAGCGCATGCGTTGAAGTTTCCGCACGCGCGGCGGGATGCGAGCGTTAACCGCTTCTGTGGTCTAGTGGTAAGACCACCTGCTTCAAACGCAGAGATCCCGGGTTCGATTCCCAGTGGGGGCAGATTTTTCTGTTCGGTTTGGTTGGTGGAGGATTCCGGGTTAAGCTTGCTTCTACTTTCGGCCTGATCATCACTTACCATCAGGTGAGATACAAGCAAAGAGCTTCCTCGTTGTGGATAAAAAAAAACATTTGCGTGCATTAATAGGCTGGCTCACACGCAGGGAGCCGGCCACCCGTGCAAGTTTTGCCGTGAAAATTAGGATTAAATTATGTTTTAGCCATTTTAAATCTTACCGCGAGCCTGCACCAAAGCTGGGACTCCGGCGGCGGCGACGGCGGCGCGGCGCGGGCGCAGGGTGACGCGGCGGTGCCAGCGGCGCCAGGGCTTGGGGGCACGAGTGTTGCTACTTACTACTTACCTACTAGTATCTTACAACCTTAGGCCTTCAAGTGAACAGGCATCCACTGCTGAATAAAAATCTCTCCCAATGATTTCCACAATGTTCTGTGCTGCCTGCATCCAGGTTCTTACGCGACCTTTACTGACTACATATGAAGAAGTAACAACAACCCTTAGGCTTTTAAACAGGCGTCTTCTGGGCAAGCTCGCTCCAGCTGCCTACGAGTGAGATTGTCATCATGAGCTTTTATAAATTCACACTTTTCTGTCACGTGTGACGACGGATCACGAGCGCAATTCAAAATGAGATAGTGACGAGGCAGGAAAGCTGAGAAGAGACTCAAAGACTCGACATACCATTCACGCTATGACGTCGGAGTAAGCCGCATTGCACTGGTTTAGACTGGTCTGCGACACTTCGCGCAATAGTGTCCGTGACGTTATTTATGTGTGCGTTGCCCGAACGCACTTTGTATGACGATTGTCTCCTGATGACGTCATCCTTTGTTCACTACTGTGGCTGAAATGATGATGATGATGACTTACCGCGAGCCTACACTACAGCCGGGAAGATTTCAACTGCGATTCAATCGATATTGCGCCTTATTCTGTAATACATAAGTCCACTTACCGCGAGCCTGCACCAAAGCTGGGACTCCGGCGGCGGCGAGCGCGGCGGCGACGGCGGCGCGGCGCTGGCGTAGGTTGACGCGGCGGTGCCAGCGGCGCCACGGTTTGGTCGGCGCGAACATTCGCCCGCCGCGGCACATGTTGCCGAACGCTCCCTGGCCGGACCTGTGGGCGGTATGGGTGTGAAAATAGAACAAGTCTAGTGTTTTTTGATGTTGCTAATAACAAAAAAAACTACTCAAAAACAACGTGTCTAGAACTTGCTTAAGTATTTTCGTTTAAAACTGATCTAACTAACACAAGTACAGCTTAGCTAAGAAATGATTTTTCAGTAATATTTATGACCATAATATCATATAAGTCGATGCTAGCCTGCAAAGTGGCAAAAGGACACGAAACATACACATTTTGCAAGAACAAGACTATGATTTACGCTCGTACTCACAAACGATACTTGCTTAAGTGAAGCAGCAAATCGAACGCACAGCGTTGAATAGAGCTCTGTTTTTGGTTCGTGTGTCACCCTGTGCGTCAACGCGCACTGTAAGGCCTCCTAGTTTGTGAATACGAGCGTAAGATTAAAAAATAACCGAAGATTAAGCAAATCAATATCATTACAGTTTGACACCAAAAAGTGAACAAAATAATTATCACTAAAAGATTATTATAATGTATTCCCATATGTCGAAGCACCAGCAGCAGTTAACCGCTAGTGTCGCGATACGGGAAGTTAATGTACCCTGCCGTAGTGACCAGGCTGGCTTGTTGCACCAGCTAGGAAGGTAACAGGGATGGAAAAAACATGTTTGATGTGCTGTTAAAGGCTTAGGCACACCAAATGCGGGGCAGTAGAAGCGCAGTTTGAATGCGGGCCCGCGCAAGTTGTAGTACAAGAAACCGCGCTCCAACCGCGCCGAACTGCAACTGCAATACAACTGCCGAACGACAAACCAGAGCCCCGATTACGGTAATTTTTAACGTCAACAATCCAGACACGCTTCTCGATTCTGCGATACGATTGGTCGTTCAACAGCGTACGTCAGCTGTTTTGACCAATCGTATCGCAGAATCAGAAACGCGTCTGGATTGTAGACGTTATAAAAGTTACCGTAATCGGGGTTCAGGCGGCGCGGGAGCGGGCTATTACTATGGCGGCCATATTAGCATGACACACTGGAGGCAGGGCGGTAGCGCGTTTAAAGCGGTTTTCGAATATAGAAAATTTTGACAACCGCCCGCGTTGCAACTGCTTTGAAACTGCACTGCTTTCAGTGTGCTTACTGCCGCGCTGCAACTGACCCGCACTGCTTCTGACCCGCTTTTGGTCTGTGGAAGCCTTTAATGTACTTTTTTTTTATTTACCGATTAGTATGACGAATCAATGAAATCTTTCAAAATTGTCCACGAGTATACCCAGGAAATTTTATGCCCCTACATACACCTATCTAGTTATTCAAAACTTTTGAATTAAGCATGCAACTGCATCTCAAACTAAATAAAAACTAAGAAAGGCTGTGGGTCCCACCTAATGCTTCAACCACACCAACACGTGCAGGTCGCCATCGCCGGCGCGATCAAAGACCAATGACAGGTCGCGTGATCTGTCATAGGTCGCACGACCTGTCATTGGCCTTGGTACGCCCATGAACCCATGAACTTGTCACCAAGATAATCCACTCACCTGTGAGTACCACCACCTCGGACACGGGGAATACGGGCTACAGCGCGACCGGTACCCCATGACTCGGCACTGGTTTGGTGACCTGGCAAAGAAACACATCAACGTTAGGTCATGTACTTAGTGTCCACTTCTCAGCACCAAAGTCAAAATTTCTTTATTTGTTTAGACAAATAAATTTTAATAATATGTACTTACAAATCGTCAAATATTTTTCTCTTAAGGAGCCTTTACATGTCTCATAATCTTTTTACCCTACCAGCGCTTCGAGACCAACATTTGGCAAGTGCTGAGAAGAAGCGCCGCAACACACCAGCCCATATGTAGTCCCGAAGTGTAGCTAGGGCAAGCTATATTTGGGACGTGTATTATAAGCGCCCTGGAAAGGGCCTAGGTACTGAATAAAAGCTTTGACGGCAGCAGTATGACCCTCTCCAATTTACCAGAGGGAAATGGAAATACACTACAGTTCCTGCTGTTCAGATCGGTTGGAAGAAGTAAATAGTAAAAATTAATTCTTTGCATCATTATTTTGTGTATTTTAAGTTGATGAACCTTAATTTTTTTCTCATCTCACCAATTGATCATGCATGTGCATGCTGTGTTAATGTCACAAATAAAATACATTTGAGAATATTTCAGAATTCTAGTTATTTCATTATGGTATTAATTCCTTGTGCAACGCCATAGAGACATAGATACTCGTAACATAAATCTCAATATAAATGGTGTAATCTTTGTGTTTTCCTATAAAATATCAAATCTTGTAGTAGAAGCCTTGCACCCGTACTTGCCACAAAGCGAGCCCGGAACGCCAGATCCTACATCAATGTAGCACTAATCCGCAGTGACACACAGCGGCACAATAGCCTCTGCATGTGGACATTTAGTGCAGTTTCCTTTCCATTTATTATCTATATTGTTTGGAAAACGTCTAACGTCAAGTCTAGTTTTAGGTATCTAGGTAGTTAAAGTTGCAGGTTAGTGTGAAGTCCTGTAATTCTAATTTCTTATATTTCATGAAACAAAAATGTTTCATAATATCTTTTCACGAAGACGCGCCCCAACATTCTTCTGCTAATGTTTGAGTGTTATCGGTACACGCTAAATCATCCATGAATGCACACGCGCACTACAAAAATGACATTTGGATTGTTTGCGTCAAACTCCCCGCTCCCCTTGATAAAAATTTAGCAGGGCACGTCTTCGTGGATGAAACAACCTATACATTATTGTTCTTGATGTCTTTTTAAATAAAAAAATAAATAGATATACTAACCAGCCTCCTTGCTCACGCAGTATGGCTGACGTGCATTCTTGGACATCGACACATGTACATCGTTGACCAGGTCAGGCCTGATGGGGGCCTTGAAGACGAAAGGCAGCGGCAGGGACGCCCCGGCCACCACCTCACTCTTCTCCGAGTACACCGACACGAGCGGTCGGGAAACTGATAGACTCTGGAACGTAAATAATTGTTTATTAGGTTAACGCTGAAAGCAATATTACTGCAGACAATGGAATATCAAACTAAATATTTTTTTAGGTAAATAACAACACAATTGAGTATGTACAGACAATAGCACATCAAACTAAGCACTGTGGCATCTTTTGTAGTCGTAACAAGTACGATTTTAAATCTTTGTGCCTTATGCCCGTATTCACAAACATTACTGAGGTCTCAGTGCGCGTGGACGCACAGGGTCACACATGAACCAATCACAGGGCTCTATTCGACACTGTGCGTTCAATTAGCTGCTTCACATAAGCAAGCATTCTTTCTTCTTTCTTTTCAGCCAAATGACGTCCACTGCTAGACATTATGTGGGTGTTATCTTTTTCAGATTACTAAGATCTCATTATCAGACTATTATGTGATGTGCTATCAGCTATACATTCTGAAAAGTGATATTATTAAAGTTTTAAATGTATTCCTCAAGTCGACACACTGATGGACAGGATGTCGCATAGTGTTTCCTACGGGAACACCATAATATCCCCCTATAAGTACCTGCACTGACCATGGGGTCAGTAAGGAAGAGTTCGGGGTTAGTACTTAGATTTAAAAAAAACATAACCCTCCTTCTGACGCAGTCGGGTAAAAATTGCACACAAACACCTGTAGAAATGTTTTTTACTGTTTTCATACAATTAAAGAGTGCCGAATAGTAATAAATATTGTAGAAATTAGCTGAAAATGAGTTTATTGTACAGAAATTGACATGAAAGACGGAATACCTAACCTCAAAAATGCTAATCGATTTGTCATGGTTAAAAACGCCCTTTCACGACATTCCAAGTGCAAGGTTAGGCACAAGAGAGGAGATTGAAGGTTTTCTAATGTGTTTTTGGTGGAAAACCATTTCAATACACATGATGCTATAGTTTCACAATAGAGACATGTCGAGGTCGGAAGTCCGTGATCACCGAACAACGACGGATAATTTTAGCGTAAAATGGATTTAAACTTGCAGGAAACATCACTCTGGCATTCGAAAACAGTAAAAACTTACGGGAAACCATCTATTTCCTTAGTTTTCTAGAAAACCTAACCAAACACGTGGATCGCACACTATGAGCTTGTCAACTTGCGGTAAACACTTTCACTGTTTATATTTCGGCACTTCAAATCTCTAACAATATTCTAGCACATTTATACATTTGAAACTTACCATTTCGCTATATCAGCGAAGTTATTCCTCCGAAAAAACACTACAAGCGGTGGTAAAGACCATCCGCCATGCCACGGAGGTGTGAAAAGAACGGAAGTGAATAGTAGAAATCTGACAGCGCTAAAGGGCAGTTGCTAGCACTAAAAATATTTTTCTACCTAAAGTAAATAAATATTTATTTTCAATGGAAACGTAGAAAACCAGACGGATAGCTAAAATGGATGAAGCTAAAATTATTAAATAACGTTATCAATATGACAAAAGTATTTTTTTTAATTATAGAAAGCCGAATTCAAATTATTAATTATAAATTCCATGCATACTAGCTTTACATTCATAGACAAAAAAAATATATTTTTCAGCGGGAAAACAAAATAAGGACAAGGAACAAAAATTTTATACAGCTTACAGGTACCCAAAAATGTCAAACTGACATGTTTTGCAAAAGTGATGTTTGTTCAAAATATTTTTATGAATTTTGATAGCAGTAATTTTTACATATAAATCTTTCAGACAAATAAAAAGAGGGTAGTAAAGTTGTGAGCGTATATTTCAAACTACCCTGCAAATAAGACATGATGGAGCAAAGTACAAGCGCGAATACCAGTCGTGTGGACTTGGATAGTTCAGAAAATTCTCAAGCAGAGACTGAAATGGAATCAGTTACCTCCAAAGAAATATGCACTGATACTATTGACATAGTATCAGATAATGTTACAATATCTGCCACTCCTGAAAGTCCAGGAACTTTTGATTTGGGTTCTACTTTAAGTGAGAACTTAGTTACAACTGCTGTAAATACATCAATACCACTCGTTATAGTCAGCAGGCCACCGTCGTTAGTCATTCAATCTCGGAAATCTCTCCAGCCATTCATAAATTCGGACTTGCCATCACCAGCCTCTGTGATAGCTGGACAGCCACAGTCACTGTTTTTACAAGCGCTATCCAAATTAAATGAGAGTTCTCTCAGCATGGCAGTTATGAACCACTTCAAGACGACCCAGCCGAATACTTCAGGGCAGACTATGGGCCAGACTTATTGGAGGAAGTCAGCTGAAATATCGCCTCCTGATTCATTAGCCAGCGCGCCACCATCTTACTCGTTCGTATTACGCCAGATGGCTGTGCGTAGAAGACCCAGAATCGTGGGCACTTTCATACCTTCACCGTCATTTGTTCAGCACACTCCTCCGCCTAATTACGCGGCTGCTTTTGATATTTACGTTGATAATCCTATTCCTCCGCCTCCTACGAGGGTTTACAATTTTGGGTTCACGTCCATGCCTGTTGTGTGCCCGGATTGTGGCTACACTGGAATGACTGTAGTCACCAGTAAGATCACGATATGTACCCACTTGTGTGCTGTTATCTTGTGCATTATGTGCTGCTGGGTATGCGCACCACTGCCGTATGTTCTCAGATCTTGCAAGGATGTTTATCATTACTGTCGAAACTGCAGGAACTTCTTGGGTATGTACTGCCCGACAAATCCAGAACAATCAATGTCACCACCATGATGTTCATGATGTTACAAAGTATTTTATTCATAGTCAATAGTTCTTACTATTATATTGTTTTAATATTATAGATTTAATTTGAATGGTATATTTATTGTTTCATAAGATAGGTGAAGGTGGAAATAAATATTATTTTTTTGATTGAGAGAATAAACCCTTTTTAAAATAAGTCTGTGTTACATTCACTTACTATTTTTCTAGCAATAAGTTGGTGATAATGTTAATATTAGCCTTAAATAAGTTTTCAAGTTATTAGCCATTGCTAATAAAAAATGGAAACAGATTCTAAACGAAATGCGTTCGAATTTCCCGGCTTCTATCAAAGCGAAAAGGAGAGGCAATGTTATAAGGAAATAACAAAATCTGATTGGTTATCTTTAGTTATTCAAACACATCTCTCCTCCCCACTTTGGTCGAAACCAAGCCTAATTAAATTCGGGTTTCCAGCGCGTGGTTTGCCCTGCACAATCAACAAAAACATGTCAACATGTAACATTTTTTGTTACCAATTTTGTAGTGAAGACCCCGCCTTAGAAGTCACTAGCCAAGGCAAGGTCGCAACTCTTGCACAACTATTGCAAGAAACTCCGTCCGATCGTGATCGTTCGAGCAATGGCGTTTCGTTTTTCCGAATACAGTTTTTTGACATTACGAAAGCTTATTCCTGCATGTAACGAAACGTTGTAAGCTGAAAATCATAGACAATTTATTTGCAAAATATTTTTTTTCTTGTATTTGTTGTTATTTTAGTAAAAAATAAATTAATGAGTTATTTTGTTATGCTGAAACAGAAAAAATCGTTAGAAAAGGTCTGACTAAATTATTACAAATGGTGAGTTTTTTGGCACTTGGCAAACATTTTTACGATAAAAATGTGATTTTGTTATACCTGCGTTCTAGAAAAACTTATTGATAGAAATAATTTTATTTTGTTAATCGGCAATAACTTAGCACACCATAAAAGTAGTAGATGAAATTGGCCTTAAATGTTAATTAAAATGTGTTGATAAAGCGTGAGAAGCTTTTGTTTTATTGTTTTTCTATAAATTAAATTAAAAAATTGTATGAACGCATCGGCTGTCAATGAAACATCAGCGCCACCTGGTGGCAAAATGTCTGCCGATAAAATTAGAAGTCACAGCCTTCCGTAAGTTCCGTGTGTGTTGCGGAAAAATCCCTTTTTGGGCGTCCGACCACATGTGAGGATAGTGAACAAAATATGGTTCTTTAGTGATTTTCTGTTCGGAAAAACGTATTTGAGAGTGATTTGTTGAGGATATCGATAGATACAACGTGCCCGTATCGTGTAGTGCCCCAGAAGAGTTGGAATTGGACGACGGAAGTGAATTTTTCGATGTAAATACGGTCCATCCAGGGTCAGTCCGGTGTGCCCCCAGAAGTCCGCGCATATTTTTCGGCTGTCGTGTGTTACGTCGCGGCCGTTCGTCTCGCACGTTATTTTCTGAGCGTTCGACCTTCGCTCGGTGCGGTCAGGTCGCGTGTGGTGTGCGTACTCGATTGATTGGTTAGATCGGCAGCATGCCGTCTTGTTGATGAGTATGGCGGCGCGCTCGTGATCCTGTGTCGGCGCGGAGCGCGCGCCCGGCTTACATAACGAAGGCAGAGCGGCGGGATGGCCACTCGCGTGTCGGCGGAGGCCGCGGGGCCCTCGTACGCGTCAGTGCTGAACTTTAGAGGAGGCGATAGCAACAAGGAGAACATAGAGGCGGCCCCGGGAGAGGTCCCGGAGTTGCCTCCGCGGGCCGGCGACGACGAGGAGGAGGAGGGCTTCGTGCCGGTGATAGCGCACAGGGGCCGGCCGGGCAAGAGTCGCAGGGAGCGCGAGCGCAGGGCTCCGCCGCGGCCGCACAAGGCGCCTTCGCAGCACGCGGAGCCGCAGGCGGCCTCGGAGCAGCAGCAGGCCGCCACGGACGCGCAGCCCAAGAAGTTCGTGGAGGCTCCCATCCCCAAAGTCAACCCTTGGCAGGTCAGTGCGTGTAAACAAACCTCTGTCAGACGTTATGGGGTGTTGTTTTGCCTCCAATTGTAATTCTATTGAGGTTAAGTTCTTATTTCTGTATGAAACCAACACTTTTTTAAGCCTTCCAATTAGCGTAGGGTAGCGAGTGCCGTATTGGCTATGCTTATTGGGTTTTCATCTGGACCGGACTGTTTTATTATGGTGATTCATTTACATAACAATGATTTCTCAGCATTAACACTAAAAATTTCACAACAAATAGCATAATGACTGATACTTTCTTGTGTTTTGCCCTTGAAATCTGCACCGTTGGCCTGTGTGGGTAGTAGTAAAACAAAATCTATCTTATGTAGTCCACCGCAGGTTTGCAACTTCATTGCATGGGTAACTGTAAACGAAAATAATACACAATTAACATCAATCATAATCAATGATTTGAACTGTTCCACCGATTTCCAATTAAATCTCAAAATTTATATAAACGGTTATTAATAGAGTAAACTTTCTAATTTGTTGTTTTTGCAATGTTACTCAGTTTTGGTACCGCAATCTTGGCTGTATAACGATTTATTTGTTGCGGGCCGTGCACTGCGTTTTACGTTTACTGCATAATTATCCTAAAGTATTATTAGAAGCTTTTTTCACATAATAGGTTCAAAAACCACCAGTTAAACTTTACTAATGGAACTGGAGTATATTTCTGTTTTGAATTCTGGAAAAATCTAAAGGTTATCTTTATTTTTCAATTAATATCTAAATAATATACATTTAGAACTAATTTACTGTCTGTTCTTCTTCTATGCTTGGCATCAAATTGATGAATTTATTAAGCATTGTGTTTAATTAGTACATAAAATTATTGAGCATGTGGTATTTTTATGAATGGACAAAAAATTAACTGTTTACTTTATAAATTCAATTTATTTTGTAATAGTTAAAGCTTTTCATCATAGTATTATTCAAATCTTTTAAGATGCATGATTAATTAGTTGTTTATTAGTTAATTTTACTGCAACTACAGGTTATTTAAAATATAGGTTATGTTAAGACTACCCCAGGTTTCCACTTATGGAAAGATATTATGAGGGTATTATTTACATGGCTTTAGCAATAAATATGTAGCTACCCACATTACTATTTCAAAATTATTTTGTATGGTATCATATAAATTGACACAATACACTTATTGGAGCACTACGCTAGCACATATTAAAAAGCTTTACTAAATCTCTATTCTCAATCTTAGCTGATATTAATCATGCAAATAATGTCAGTTACGTTTACGTTGGACGGTTATTACTGACATCCTGAAGTCTCCATACAATGCCAACCGAGCGTGACTAAACCGATATGATGCGTTCACGATAATTCTGAATGAAAGAGTGTATCCTGATTCGAAATGATACATGCTATCGTATCTTTGTCCGCCACTGCCATTTTTTTTTACTACCCTCTTACCAATTTTATTAAAATCTAGATTTATTTTACTTTAAAATCTATGGGGTCATTCCATGACAAATGTTACCGAGGGTGAAAAACTAAATATGTTCTTTTCGCATTAAATCTGATGAATTTTGAAAGTAAACATTCCAAATTATAATGTGCAACAAAAAAAATCTGAAAGAAACAAGTAATTTTTAAGTTATTAGTCTTCAAAGTCTATACTTAAGTCAACTGTCTGAATGATAATTTTCTCTCTAATTATTGGTAATACGATTAAAAAAAAACTATCAATCTGTGAAACGTTTTGCCACTATATGATTCGAGGGTATTTATCATAGTATTGGTAGATAGCGTCATAGCCCAAAAAAAATGGATAATCATCAAGTTTTAAGTGTGTTTTCTTGTTACTTCGGCGATGTAACACCCGAAACAAAAAAACAGGTATTTGTTTTATTATTGTACCTTACACATGGATTAGGGTAACAATATTTGGTAAAAGTAAGGTCATGGTAGTAATGATTTCAAATAGTAACTAATATCTGAACATGATACTAATTTAGTATATTTCTTTCTTGATTAAAAACTGTAACACCCGAAACGTTTCGGGTATTACATTTTTATTTAATTTTCGTACTCGTAACACCCGAAACAGAACCATTGTAACACCCGAAACAAAGAAAAAATTTATAAAAAAATAGTAAAACGTTTTATTTAACAGTGATTGTATGTTACATGGTTTGTAAATGTCATACTTTAGAAGTCCTGTAAGTTTTAGGTATGATTCCTTAAGAAAATTCGCTAAATTTCGAGTAAATGCAGCAACAGTCAGAACATAGAGGCAAAATCTCGTAACGCCCGAAACGCACACTTTTCGACTCATATTTTCGTTATCCTACATTCTAAGCTGTACAAACTTTATTATTAAGATAAAACAACTAAAAACGGACAGATGAAGGCACTAACATTATTAAAATACTATTTCAAAATACATGAAATTGTTGAATACGTGTGTACGAACGTAACACCCGAAACGATGGAATGACCCTATGGTTAAATAAGATAGATAATACAGTGCATTCAATGTCACAATGGAAGTACCAGACGTATATTTTTTCAGTTTTTAACACTTGTTGCATAAATTATGCACATCTTTCGACTTTTTTATAGACTACCTACATAGGTATTTATATTATGTTATAATGTTACATACACTGATATGAACACACTCCTCCATATTATAATAATAGTATTACTTTTTAGCCAATTAGAGGAGAGTGCTGTAGGTATTTCGAATTTGATTGTTTAGTTTATTTGGAAAACTAAACTGAATTATGTTTGATAGATGAACCACTTGTTGACTTACCTACCTTTATAATGAAATTACTTGACTATTCTCATAATAGCAATTTTAACATAAAATATCTTATTTAAAGTACCATGACAAAAGTTCATTATCTTCACTCTAACAACTTATATTTATATCTTAAGATAAGGAATCCAGTATTTTATTTGCAGTATTATTAGAATTACACAATTTTAAAACCTGTTTGATATCTGTATCAGTATAACTTTTAATTCAGAAAAATTACAAAATAACTGTATAGTTTTAGCACCTTGTGTATTTTATATGGTTGGAGGTCTTAAGGCTAATTTTTCAATAATTTCATAACTTAATTGGCCAGATTGGCCTATTGACAGTTTCTTTTGAAAATATACCATTATGTCAAATTAATTCTTGAGATAAAAGTTCTCCATTGAAAAATCAGGCCATAGTTCAACAGATTAAACCAAATCAAGATTAGAAAAGAAACATTTAGTTTTTTCAATTCTCATACCACACATACGCCCATATTCACAAACAATGCTTTTTTAAGTGAAGCAGCAAATCGATCGCACAGCATTGAATTGAGCTCTGTGATTGGTTCGTGTGTCACCCTATGCGTCCACGTGCACTGTGAGACCTCTTAGTAATGTTTGTGAATATGGGCGACTATCTTCTCTAACTAACTATGTGACAAGCATAAAATTAATATAATATGCCCATCATACAATGATACGGATTCAATTGAAACTTGGCACAGCTCCCACGTACTGCTACATGACCACTTAGTTTACTAATTAAATTACTATATGACTATGACATGAAATAGATTACTTCTTCTTGCAAAATCTTCATGTAAACACGGCAAAATCAACTAAAAACAAAAAACTTATGTCAAAAAGTACAAATACAGTTACAAATTTTAAAAATTGATATAATCATCAAAACCGGCTGGATATATATCCGATATATATCAAGATATATATCCCTTGATATACAACGTGTCCCAAAATTCAAGGATAAGCCGGCGCCGCAGGGTGGACCTAGTCATGACTGCTTTAGGAAAAATAAGAAAAAAAATCTATCTCAATTATTTTTTAAGTTACACAATAAATTATGAAATTCATCGAAAATTGACACCCCTTATGATATTTTACATTACCACCACTACAATTTTTCAAATACTTCAGTTTTTTTGTTTGTATCGGCAACTTAAGTAGTGCTGCTGTCCACCCCAATTCTTAAAACCCTCAGAATCCTTGCAGTTTTTACACAAAAGTTAATCAAAATATGATATTTCCTTAAAATTTTGAACGATTTTTACTTACACTCCACTTTGACTCGTCGTTTTGTAAAAAAACAGTATGAACACTACTGCGGCAAGTTTTTTATAAAGTTGACGCAACTATCCAAGATTCCGAAATGGTATAATACACTAAGAAAACTAGTCGCAAAAAAGATATGCGTACCATTTTTACAAGCACTTCGCTTGTTAGTTAGTATGGGATAAATCTTGCAACTGAATTTAAAACCAGTTCTCCTTAACTAATTGAGCTGAAATTTGGTATACTTGTGTAAGTACGATGACAATGCAATATTATGGTACCATTGAGCTGGATGGAGTATGGAGGTGGCCATAGGAACTCTTAACGAAACGGCGGAATTACATCTAGTTTGGGTTCGTTGGACTTGTCTTTTCGAGCACTTTAGTGCTAGATGATGTTCAGGGTCCTGATGATGAAGTCAAGAGGTGGCAGGAGCTGGCCATAGGAACTCCTAAACGAAACGGCGGAAGCTTATCGAGTTTGGGTTCGTTGGATTTGTCTTCCCGAGCACTTAGGCCATGAGATTGAGAAACAACTAAAAAGCTTAAAATAAAGTTGTAATAAAAAAAACTTATTTAAAAACAAGCTTGACTTCGTTTGAAAATTATAATTGACTTCATCATCAGGACCCTGGACATCATCTAGCACTAAAGTGCTCGAAAAGACAAATCCAACGAACCCAAACTCGATAAGCTTCCGCCGTTTCGTTTAGGAGTTCCTATGGCCAGCTCCTGCCACCTCTTGACTTCATCATCAGGACCCTGAACATCGTCTAGCACTAAAGTGCTCGAAAAGACAAGTCCAACGAACCCAAACTAGATGTAATTCCGCCGTTTCGTTAAGAGTTCCTATGGCCACCTCCATACTCCATCCAGCTCAATGGTACCATAATATTGCATTGTCATCGTACTTACACA